GTGATGATATAGAATCTAAAATAATATTATAAGTTTATAACAATAAATTTTATTTAAGCAATATAGTTATATAAATAAAATTAAAATTAAAATACTTACATGATCTTTTATTAGGAATTAAGCTTAAAACAGTATTATCATTAGTATTTACTTCTTTAATTCGTAAAATGCAAAGACTACCGCTCGTTCTTCTTCATTTATTTTAGCAAGAAAATGGGAACACTTTTTGAAATGTTGAATAATTTGATCTGTTTTGTTTGGAAATGAAATCTTACGTTCCTCTTCTTCTCCAAATACTTCTATGCATACTTTGCAGAAGGTTTTGAGATTACTTTTATTCACCTTTTCATCTGTTTTAATAATATATTTAGTTAGTAAAGAGGGAAACGGCATATTTAAAAATTTTTTTTTTGTAGCTTAGCATGGACCGGCGAATATCTCAGACAATCCTTGAAAAATCGCAGATATATCTCACTTAACAATGGTAATACGGGACATGTGATCGGACGAAAATCTCGGACATGTTCTGGAATGTCTGTGTCTGTCTGATTTTGGCAGACAGTATTCGCTGTACAACACTGATTGGAGGTAATACTAGTACTGATATTAGCTTTGGCTTTAGCTCTAGTATTGACTTTAGTAGCGTTAATATTAGTGCTGACATTAGCTTTAGTAGTATTAGCTTTTGTAATATTAGTATTAACGGTAATGGTATTGGCTCTGGTATTGATATTGACAATGGTGCTAGAGCTGATATTGGTTTTGACATTAGTACTAGCGATAGTGCTAGAGCTGGCATTGGCATTAGCATTGGTATTGACTAACATTAGCATTAGTGATGATACTAAAGTTAGCATTAATACTGGTATTAGCAATAGTGCTAAAACTAGTATTGACATTGGTATTGATAGTGATGCTAAAGCTAGCATTAGCATTAGCATTAGTACTAACATTAGCAGTAATACTAGAGCTGAAGCTAGTATTGATGCTAGTACTAGTGGTAGTAGTAACATTTGTATTGGTGACATTTTCTTTTTAATAAATAAATAAAATTTAGATATTTTATTTATATTTTAATCAGAATATTAAAAAATAAAATCTTTGGTACCTAATGCTTCATCTGCTTTTTTT